GCGGCCGTGTACGGATTATCCCCGACGTTAAACGGCAGCTTCAGCGGCGGGACGCCGTCCTGGAAGTCCACGTCGAAGACGTAGTCGTACTCCGCGCCTTGGAACGATTTCTTTCCGCCGCCTATTCCGCCGCCGCCGACGCCGGTGACCTCGCCGACGCGTTCCCAGCTCGCCGTCCCCGCGGACCACGCGTACGCGGCGATCGTCCCGCCCTCCTCTCTGATGACCTTCGTCACGCCGTCGCCGTGCCCGGACTGCAGAAGCGCGCTCGGGTCCTCGGTCTTTATCTTCGACTGCTCCTCCGCGAGCGTCGCTCTCGCCCTCGCCTCCGCGGCGGCGGTCATCGCGTCGTCCATCGCCTTGGGGTCGAGGGTCCATACGAAGCATCGTCGGGGTGGAGTTGAAAGGCGTCAGAAGCGGAGTTGAAAGGCGTCGAGGGTGGGGATTGAAAGCGCGGGACCCTGGGCGGAGAGTAACGCCGGGAGAGAAAGTCCTTAAGCATCGGCGTTCACCACGCGAACGGGGTCGTATGGGGACCAGTGTCATGAATAGAACGCGCCTTGGCCGCCGCCGCGTCTTTCTTCGCGTCGTCCGTCGTCCACACCCGCGCGACGCCGTCCGCGCAGCACGAAATAACGTCCCCACCACCGCCGTTACCATCACCACCGATCGGAAACGCGGCCACGGACCAGACGCACCCGGGGTGCGCGATCGTCTGCGCGCACGACGCGTCGCGCGCGCGCCATATCCGCATCGTGTTGTCCTCCGAGCCCGTGAAGACGCGGTCGCCGGCGGCGGCGACGGCGTACACCAGCGCCGTGTGTCCGACGAACGTCAGGACCGTCTCGTGCGTGACCAGGCTCCACATGCGCGCGGTGCAGTCGTGCGACGCGGTGAGAAACGCATCACCCGCTGGCGTTACGCATATCCCGCGGACGGTGTCCGCGTGCCCCGTCATCGTCGTCGTCGGCTTCCACGACGCGCCGTCATATGGCATTTGACCGTCCCATCGCTTGACGCTTCGATCCGCGCTGCCCGAGAGGAACCCGCCGTCCGCGAGCGCCGCGAGCGCGAGGACGGACGATCCGTGCGCGTCCTCGATCGCGCGCGCGCACGCGCCCGTCTTCGGATCCCAGACGCGAACGCTCTTGTCCATCGCCCCCGACACGACGACCCCCGAGGCGAGCACGCAGACGGCGGTCACGTCGAGCGCGTGGCCGCGCATCTCCGCGACGGCGTCGCCGGTCGCGGGATCCCACGCGACGACGCGCGCGTCGCGCGACCCGGAGACGAGCGCGCCGAGTGGGGGAAACGAGGGGACGCGCCCCGGCGGCGCGAAGGCGAGCGACGTCACGAACGACGCGTGGCCGACGCAGACGACGGATTGCGCGAACGAGACGTCGGAGCCGATCGCTTCGCTCCAGACGCGGACCGTCTTGTCGCGCGACGCGGTCGCGAACGACGCGGGGGAGAGGACGACCGCGGCGCGGACGTCGTCCTCGTGTCCGCGGCATTCCGCGCGAAGCGCGTACGACGTCATGACGCTGTCGCGCGCTCAGATCTCTGACGGCCGGGGGAGGGCACCCACCGCGACGGATTAATTTCTGACGACCGACGCTCTTCTGACGACGGACGCGCGCGCGCGCTCGAGTTGACGTTCGCGAGCAGGCGACCTGACCGCGATCGGGAATCCTCGGATCGCGCCGCCCCCCGCGCCATTCCGCGGGGCGCGATCCATCCGATCCCCCCCCTCACGCGCTTCACGCGCGCGCGTCGATCGCCGCGCGAGGAAGAAGAACCCGCGGCGCGTCGCCACCCATCATGGCGGACGACGACGAGCTCTACGGCGAGCTGTACGGCGACGACGACGACGACGTCGCGATTCCCGCCGCGCCACCGCCCAAGCCGGTGATTAAGTTCCAACCCCCGGCCCCGGCGGCGGAGCCGGCGCCGACGCCGGAGCCGACGCCCGCCGCCGACGCGATCGGCGGCGGCGATGGCGGCGGCGACGGCGGCGACGGCGGCGACGGCGACGGCGACGGCGACGACGACGACTCCGACGACGACTTCGACATCGCGCTGAACGAGCCGGAGGAGGGCGATCCGGAAGATCCCGACGACTTCAAGATCGTCCTCGACGACACCGAGGAGCTCTACGGCGTCGGCGCGAGCGTCGGCGCGGGCGACGACGGCGGCGGCGGCGACGGCGAAGGCGGCGGCGGCGGCGACGGCGCCGCGGGCGCGGACGGGATGCCCGGCGCCGGCGGCGCCGGACCCTCGGACCCTCGCGCGGCGGACATCCACTACCGAAGCAAGACGTACGTCAGGGAAGGCGCGCCCGGGGGTCGCCCGCCGCCGCCGGCGCCCCCGCCCGGCCGCCCCTCCGGGGGCCCGCCCCCGCCGGCGCCGCCCCCAGGCCGCCCCGGCCAAACCCTAAACACCGCTCCCGCGGGGGTGCCGCACGGGAGCGTCCTCGCGACCGATCTCGGCCGAGGCCGCCCGCCGCCGCCGGCGCCGCCGCCGGGCGCGCCGACGGTGCCGCCGTACCGCGGACCGAAAGTCGAGTACGGCCCGTCGCTCCAGCTGGACACGGGCGAGTGGTGCACGTACAACCGACAGCCGCCGAACCTGAGGAAGAACGAGCGAGGGCAGGTCATGCTCCCGGGCGGCGGCGGCGGCGCGAGGTTCATCCCGCCGGACGAGTACAAGGAGTTCCTCAACCTCGGGCACGGCGGCGTCTTCGACCTGGACCTGGACGAAGTCGACTGCGCGCCGTGGCGGCTCCCCGGCGCGGATCTCAAGGCGTACTTCAACTACGACTTCGACGAGCACACGTGGCGGCGGTACTGCAAGGAGGTTCGAAAAGCTCGTTTGGAGCTCACGATGCAGGAGAGCATTCAGACGTTCGACGGCGACGACGCCGGCGCCGGCGGGCACGCGACGGCGACGTACCCGCACGGCGCGCCGCCGGTGCCGTCGATGCCGCCGCCGTCGGGGCAGCGGATGGGCGGGTACGGCGGCGGGATGATGGGGGGACCCATGGGCGGCGGCATGGGCATGGGTATGGGACCCATGGGCATGGGAGGGCCCATGGGCATGGGAGGACCCATGGGAGGCATGGGCATGGGAGGGCCCATGGGAGGCATGGGGGGCATGGGAGGGCCCATGGGAGGCATGATGGGAGGGATGCCCGGGATGATGGGGATGATGGCGATGGGCGGCGTCGACGGGCCGACACCCCCGGCCGGGGGGCCCGCGGGGGACGACGCGGAGGAAGACAGCGAAGAGGAGGAGGAAGACGAGGAGGATGACGACGAGGAGGAGGAGGAGGAGGACGCGATCGTCCTCGCGGGCGACGACGACGACGACGCGGCGCCGAAACCGCCGAAGGAGGAAAAGAAGAAGAAGAAGAAGAAGAAGAAGGGCGAGGGCGCCGAGGGTGCCGAGGGCGCCGAGGGTGCCGACGCGGGCGGCGGCGGCGGCGCGGACGGCGAGATGAACCTCGACCTCGACGCGCCGTTCACGCTGGACGACGCGAAGCAGCTACCGATGCCCGTCGTCGCGCAGCAGATGCAATTTCTGCAGATGCGTCACATGCGACTGATGCAAACCGCGATGGCGAACCCGGCGATGCAACCGACGTTGCAGCCGCAAGCCATCGCGGGGCAGCAGCGCATGATGATCCTTCAGCAGGCGGTCATGGAGATGCAAGGCGGCGGGATGGGGATGCAAGGCGGCGGGATGGGGATGTGGGACGGCATGGGCGGCGGCGGGGGCGGCGGCGCGGCGTGGTCCGCGGGCGATCGCGTGTGCCACGTGTGCGGCCAGCCCGGCCACATCGCGAAAGAGTGCCCCGACACCGCGTGCCACAAGTGCGGTCAACTCGGGCACATGTCGAGGGAGTGCCCGAACTTCACGTGCCACAGGTGCGGTCTTCAGGGCCACCTCGCGAGGGACTGCCCCAACCCGAACGCGCCCGGCTCGCGGCCCGACAATCGCGCGTGCCACCTGTGCGGCGAGCAAGGGCACATCGCGAGGGATTGTCCGACGGGCGCGGTGGACACGCGATCGTGCCACGTGTGCGGCCAGCAAGGGCACCTCGCGAGGGATTGTCCGAACCAGGGCACGAACAAGGACGTGCGGACGTGCCGGTCGTGCGGCGAACCCGGGCACATCGCGAGGGATTGTCCCAACGCGGGGTGGGGCGTGAGGGGTCGCCGCGACGCGGGCGGCGGCGGCGATAGAGGGCCGGAGCGCGGCGCGAGGGAGCGGACGCAGTCGCCGGAGCCGAGGCGCGGCGGCGGCGGCGGCGGCGGGCCGCCGCCGGGGAGTGGAGAGAGAAGGCGCGTCGTCGTCGTCCGGAGGCCGGGGCGCGGCGGCGGCGGCGGCCGCGGCGGCGACAGAGACAGGGACAGAGACAGAGACAGAGACAGAGACAGGGACCGCGACAGGGACAGAGACAGGGACCGCGACAGGGACCGCGATCGCGGCGGCGCGCGGAGAGACTCGAGAGACCGCGAGCGGTCGCCGCCGCCGCGACGCGAGGAGCGCGACCGGAACGTCCGCGAGAAGCGGAAACCAGACGACGGCGACGACGGCGACCGCGACGACGACGGCAAGCGCGCGCGAAGGTAAAGGCGACGCGCGAGTCCTAGTAGCTACGTTGTACGTAGTCCATCGCGCTACCGGTATCGCTCCTTTCAAATCTACCACCGCACCGCACCGCCCGATCGCTCATCGGAACCACTCCGGCGCGGGCGTCACGACGTACGACCGCCGCGGCGTCTCCGCGTCTCTCGCGCCGTCCCCGGCGGCGTCCCCGGCGGCGGCATATTTATCGTCGTAGTGCCGGTTGCGCCTCAGGTGCGTCTCGAAGACGTCCTGCGCGGCTGCGCTCGCGCGCGCCTTGCCCATCTCCCCCGCGTGCTTCGCCTTCGCGGCCGCGAGCGCCCTCTTGTGCGCGCCGCTGCGCGGGTTCCCGCGAAGAAAGTCCACGACGAACACCGCGCGGACTTCGGACGCGCCGTCGCCGTCGCCGCCGCCCTTCGCTTTGCCGCCGCCGCCGTCGCGACGCCACCGTCGCACGCCGTCGCACACCAGCATCAGCTGGTGGAGTTCAAAGGCGTCAGTTGGCGTTGAAAGGCGTCGAGGGCGGGGAACGAAAGCGAGGGACCCTGGGCGGAGAGATGCGCCGGGAAAAGTCCTTAAGGAACGGCGTTCACCGCGCCGACGCGGTCGTATGGGGACCAGTGCATGGGACGCACCTCCGAGGTTTCGTCCTCGTCCGTGAGCGTCCACAGGACGTACTTCGCGTCGTGGAACCCCGCGAGCTCGCACAGCGCGCGCCTGTACTCCAGAGACGTGCTCGTCGCGGCGTCCTCGCCCTCGCCCTCGCCGTCCGCCGCGACGCGACGCGCGCGCTCGCTCGCGCGGAAGACGTTCGCGCTCAGATCCTCCGCGAGGTGCTCGCGCAGCGACGTCTCCGATGGCCACTCAATGAGCTCCTCGAGGACGAGCGGGCCGTCCGTCTCGTCCGGCTCGAGCATGTCGCGCGACTCCTTCTCGCGTGTCTCCTTGTTTAGCCTCGTGTTGAGCTTCTTGACGCGGTTCGCGGTCGCGAGCGACGCGACGCGCCGCGTCGCGCCGTCCGCGTCGTCGTCCTCCGCGATGGACGCGATCGCGTCGGCGATGTCCCGCGCGGTCGGGTCGGGGAGCGTCCTGCGGAGGTCGATCACGAGGTCGCGGAGCGCGTCGGCGTCGTCGTCCGTCATCTTGTCCGCGGGAGGCGGGGGGTCCTCCGCCATGGCGACGCGCGTGGGGCGAGCGCGGCGGCGCGCGCGACGAGATGAAGATGAAGAAGTCTCGGCAGCTTCGAGACGAGCGTGACATGATGTGTGAATGTGAACATGAACGAACCTCGGAGAGCCGACGACGGACGACGCGGCGACGGATTCAAACGCCGCGCAGACGACGACGATCGATGTGATTGATGATTTGTGTTACATGAAGACGCGTCGTGCGCGTTCTCTGCTAACGACGGGGTCGCCGCCGCTCGGCGACGACCCCGTCCGGCGGCGGCGCGTCGCGCGCCGTCGTCGCCGGCTACTAGGAATTAGATAAATTGGTTTTCTTCGCTGCGGGCGCGCGGGGGGCCCTCGAGGGCGCGTGCGAGTTCGAACCGACGCCAGCGCGCGGAGTGCGCTTTGAGCGTCGGTCGTCATCTGTGTCGCGCGTGTTCTCGGGGCGCCGCGCGTCGCGGCGGCTAGGCTAGGCGCGGGCGTACGCGACGGACGAATCGAACCGAATCGATCGACGCTCGGGCGTGCGCGGATTTCACTCGCGCGCCGCGTCGTCGTCGTCGTCGTCGTCGCTTACCCGACCTTCCTGCCGCCGGATTTGAAGCCCTTGGGCGCGTACTGCTGCTGGGACTTCGTCCCCGTGCGTCAGGGCTTTATGAACTTCTTCGCCCCGAACTCGCCCTGCGTCGCCGTCTTCTGGATGGTGACCTGCGACTTGGTGTGCGTGCCGTGGGCGAACTTCTTGTTGAGCGTGGCCGCCTTTGACGACGACGACCCGCCGTCGTCGTCAGTCGGGTCCGCGAAGAGGTCGTTCATCGTGACCTTGCGGGACATCGGGACGCCTCGGGCCGCGCGCGCGGCGAGTAGGGTCCGGGCGCGCGTGTCGCGGAGGGGACGGCGCGCGCCTGAAGAGTGGCGGCGGACGACTTAGGGCTCTCCGAGAGGGAATTTTCTCGAGGGCCGAGATCGCGTGCGCGTTTCCGTTTCCTCGCAGCCGACGAAGCGTTCGAGTGGTTCGAAAAGTCCGCCGCGCGAGGGCACACGGAAGCTATTGGCATGTCTAAACACGCTCGCTCGATCTTCGCGACTTCAACGAACGCGCGCGCGGCGCACACGATACGACTGAAACACGATACGATTTACGAATAAGTCTACGCGCTCGCCTCTCGCTTCTCGTCCTCCGCGCCCCCGCCGCCGCCGTACCATCGAAACACCTTCTTCGCGCCGAGCTTCCGCACGCTCAGTCGCAACGGCGACTCGTCCGTCACCGGAAACTCGCGCGGGAAGTCCACCGTCGCGGCCACGCGCACCGCGGCGTCGTCGCCGATCCGCAGCACGCGCTCGTCGAACTCCAACCCGCTCGTGTTGAGACTCAGCCCAAACCCGGGCGGTCGCAACAGCTGCGCGGATATCCGAGGCGAGTAATCCCCGTCGCCGTTCAACCACCGCAACGGCACCTCCACGCGGACGGGGTGAAGCGATCGGTCAGTCGAACGTCTTAGCGGTCAAACGTTGAAAGGGAAGCGCGGGTGAAGAGTGACGACGGTAAAAGTCCTTAAGGAACGGCGTGCACATCGCGAACGGGGTCGTATGGGGACCAGTCTCACCTCCACGCGCACGCCGAGGGATAAGTCCGTGTTGAGCAGAGGGACGCGGCCGCGCGCGACGATCTCTTGGCGCGGCAGCGCGCGGAGGTAGATGTTCGGGGAGTACTTGTCGTTCCCGAGCCGCACGCGGACGCGGCACTCGGGGAGCACCTGAGGGTCGAGGGTCCGTACGAAGCGACGAACGTCGGGGCGGAGTTGAAAGGCGTCAGAAGCGGAGTTGAAAGGCGTCGAGGCGTGTCGGGATTGAAAGCGAGGGGTGATGGGCGGAGAGAAACGCGCGCCGGGAAAGAAAGTCCTTAAGGATCGGCGTCCACCACGCGGACGGGGTCGTATGGGGACCAGTGTCATCAGGTATAGAACGCGCCTCGGCTTCCATGAGGCTCACGTCGAGGCCGACGCCCAGGTCGACGCGCGATTTCTTCGCGCCGCCGTCGCCGAGGCGCGTGAACGCGCCCGCCTCCCACTTCTGCGTCACCTTGAGTCGCGTCTGCTCGACGTTGAAGTTGTGACGCACGGGTCCGTCCGACTTCTCGCCGCGGACGTCCGCGGGGCCGTCGCCCCATCCGTTGTGATTGGTCTGTCGCGCGCGGTCGCGCGTGAACGCTGGGCGTTGCATGTCTAGCCTGACGGTCGTGGACGACGTCCCGAGGACGAAGCCGAAGATCTTCCCCGCGATGCCTTTGCCTTTGCCTTCATTCTTTAAGGACGCGGAGGGCCCCGTCGACGGCGGCGGCTTCCTCGCGGGGGCTTGCACGCGAGGAGGCGGAGGCGGCGCGGAGGTCGTTACCGGCGCGTTATCAGATTCGGCGTTCGATGCCGCCATGGTTTCCGTCGTTTGTTTCTTCGAGTCGTTCCGCGCGACGTGCGAAGGATGCTCTCGCGGGCGGGGTGTCTACAGTAACTCGCGCGAAGGTCAACGAGCGCGCGCGCGATCGCGAACGCTCCCGGGTTCGACGCGGCGGCGTGCGTCGCGCGCGGGCGAGGAGTGAACGCTGACGTGGCGTGGATTTATCTCACATATTCCTCGGAACTCGTGACGAAAGAATTCGTCGACCGGCGCGACGCGTCGTCACTTCCACGCTCGCGAGCGTCGCGCGATCGCGCGCGCCTCGCCTCTTCCGCAGCTTTCTCTCCCGCGCCCGCGGCTCCGCCCGCGTCGCGCGTCCGCGACCCGCGCCGTCGCCGAAAAGGTTCCGGCGCGACGCTCGAGGAGGATCGATCGTCTACTTCCATCACCTCCAGAAGCTAACAACGACGACGAGAGCGAAAAAAGCATCATGGAGTCCGTGTCCTTCGGCCCGGCCGACGCGCCCATCACCGGGTACGTCTGCGGCGACGCGAACGCGCCGAGCGTCGTCGTCCTCCAAGAGTGGTGGGGCGTCACCGAGAATATCAAGCTCCAAGCGCAGCACCTCTCGAAGCGCGGCGGGTACCGATGCCTCGTCCCGGACCTGTACCGAGGAAAGCTCGGCGTGAACGTCGAGGAGGCGCGTTCTATCTCACACTGGTTCCCATACGACCGCGTTCGCGTGGTGAACGTCGTTCCTTAAGGACTTTTCCCGGCGCATCTCTTCGCCTACCCCTCGTTTTGAATCCCCGACCTCGGCGCCTTTCAACTCCACCCCTGACGCCTATGAACTCCACCCCGACACTCGCTCGTAGGCGCACCACCTCATGACCAACCTGGACTGGCCGAGAGCGAAGGACGAGATCGCGGCCGCGGCGACGTGGCTGAAGACGACCGGCTCGCCCAAGGTGGGCGCGATCGGGTTCTGCATGGGCGGCGCGCTGACGCTGATCGCCGCGCAGCACGCCGACGACGTCGCCGCCGCGGCGCCGTTTTACGGGACGCCCGACGCGGGGATCTGTCAGGCGCGTTCATTTAACACTGGTTCCCATACGACCGCGTTCGCGTGGTGAACGCCGATCCTTAAGGACTTTCGCCTTCGTCTCTCTCCGCTCACCCCTCGCTCACAATCCCCGACCTCGACGCCTTTCAACTCCACCTGACGCCTTTCAACTCCACCCCGACGTTCGCTCGTATGGAACGACCCTCAGACGGAGACCATCACGAAACCGATCCAGGCGCACTTCGGCGCGCTGGATAACCTCGCCGGGTTCTCCGACCCGGCCGCGGCGACGCGACTGCGAGAGAACTTGGCCAAGGCGGGGAACGAAGACTTCGAGGTCATCGAGTACGAGGGCGTCGGTCACGCGTTCATGAACGATCTGCCGGCGCCGTACGACGACTGGGAGAGCCGCGAAAAGACGCAAGGGTTTCCTCCGCGGAACGACGCGCAGGTGAAGCTCGCGTGGAATAGAGTGATCGCGTTCTTCGACAAGCACTTGAAGTGAGTGACGAGGCGTGCGCGGGAACAGCAGCGCGCGCGTCCTTTGCGTGAGGAAGTAATAAGGAAAGATCTCGGATGAAAACGAACGACTCGCGAGCGTGGAAGGCTCCTAAACGTGCTAGTATATAGGCACTCGCGCGCGGTTCGATCTCGTCTCGCTTTACTTCTTCGCGTACGACAGCGTCATGCTGTGCGTGGGGTTGATCTTGAACCCTTGTAACCCTTGTAACGCCACGGAAGCTTGCGTCTCCGCGGTGAACTCCACGAACGCGATCCCGGGCTTCGCCTCCACCATGCGCACTTCCTTGAATCCGGGGAACTGTTGGAACAGCATGGACAACATCGCCGCCGTCGTCGCCTCTGCGGTGGTTGGCGAGCGTGAGTGGTGAGCGCGTGGTCAGCGAAAGTGATGACGACGGTAGAAAAGCGACGGTCCGGTCGGTCGCCGCGTTCGAGCGCCGAGGATCCCCCTCCGGGGTTCCTTCCATCCTCAGTCCTAACGGCGTGTTTTCGTCACCGTTCGATCCGACAGTTTTATCGGTGTTGTCGTAGGTCGATCACCGGACGGGGGCGAAGAGAGGGTCGCTCGAGCCAGCCGCGGACCTCGCGGCGACGCGCGGAAGAGATCGAACAGAGAAGCGTCGCGACGGACAGACGAAATCGAAAACACGCACCCGGTAACCCCTGCACGAACAGGATCTCGTTCGGCGGCGCGGACGGATCCGTTCGAATCGGCGCCGATCCGCCCCCTCTCGCCTCCGCCTCCGCCTTCGCCGCCTGCGACGCCTTCTCCTCCGCCTGACTCGCCGCCTTCCGCTTCGCGCGCGCCTCCGGGTCGCGCGCGGACGGGTCGTACGTCCCGTCCAGCTTCGCGGTCGCGTCGCTCTTCGCCTTGGCGTACGCGAGCTTCATCGGCTTGTCGAAGAAGGGGAAGCCCTGTACGGCGCGCATCGCCGCGGTCGCGCTCGCGACGTCTTGGAACACGACCCAGGCTTGGCCGCGCAGCTTGTACGTCTTGACCGCGACGACGTCGATGATCTTTCCGAACTGCGAGAAGACCGCGTGGAGGGACTTCTTGAGCTCTGCGACGACGAGGACGACGACGATGGGGTGGGGGGGGCGTCAGATCGGGCGGAGGGAGGACGCGGCCGCGATCGAATCGGAACGACGACGACGGACGGATCGGATCGCTCGCGCTTCGTCGTCTCGACGGATCGGTCGATCGAATTTAGGGTTCGATCGACGGCGGTCCGCGCGCACCCTCTTTCTTGATCTTCTCGTTCAGGTTGTTGACGTAGATCGTCGGGCACGGGGGGATGTCACCCATGGTGGCCGTGGGTGGTTTACGCGCGTCTGCGGCGGTGCGCGCGAGACTGAGGACGAGGGAAGCGGGGCGGTGCCTCGCGCGCTCTCGCGAATTTGTTTTGCGACTCGCAGTGCGGCGATTTCCAGTTCGAGCTGAGAGCCTCTGCCGGAAACCCCCGCCACCGCCGGTCGAGGGCACTTACTGGCGCTCCGCGCGGCGCGACGATGCAGCGCCTCGCGTCGAGACTCGTCGCGCCGGTCGCGCCGCCGGCGCGGCCCAACGCGCGCGCGAACCGCGCGGCGTCGACGACGCGATGCCGCGCCGGCGGCGGCGGGCGATACCCCCCCGCGAACGGCCGCGAGCGCGGCGCGACGACGAGAGACTCGGCGTTCTTCTCCCGACGCGACGAAGACGACGATTATCGGCGCCGGGAAGAGGCGTGGCGCGCCGAGGAGGAGGCGCGCGCGGCTCGCGAGGAAGCGCAGTGGCGCGACGCGTACGACCGCAGACGCGAGGAGAAGAAGTCGCGGTGGAACGAGTGGGATCGGATGGCCGCGGTGGAGAACGAAGCGCGCGCGCGCATTGCGGCGGCGAAGGCGTCGCGTCGACGCGCGGTGACGCCGGAGCAGCGCCGCGCGTCGCTCGCGCGGTACCGCGACATGTCCAGACGCGCGGACCAGGAGTTCACGAAGAACGTCTCGCGGCGATTCAACGGCGACGGCGGCGGAGGAGGACCATCGGGGTCCCTCGCGCCGCGGGGGGGGACGGAGCGGTACGGGAGGGATCAGACGTTCGACGGCTGGCTGTTCCGCCCGCTCGCGGGCGCGACGCGACGCGTCAACGACTGGCTGGACGAGGACTTCTACGACGACGGGCGAGGAAGGGGGTGGGGGACGCCGCCGCCACCGCCGCCGCCGCCGCCGATGCAGCAGACGCGAGAGGAGGCGCGGTCGGGGCGGTACCGGGAACGCGAACGCGCGCCGCCGCCGCCGCCGCCGTATCCGTATCCCGGGGACGAATACGAGTACTACGAATACGAATACGACCAGCCGCCGCCGCCGCCGCCGCGGCAGCGCGGCGGGAACCCGTTCGGGGAGTTCTTCAACGGGGGGAGAGGAGGAGGGATGTTCGACGGCGGCGTGGACGATCCGATCACCGCGGAGGAGTTTGAACGACTCCGAGCTGAAGCGCGACGGAGCGGACGACGATGAGATGAAAAAATTGAATCATCTATCTGTCGCGGCGCGTACGCCTCACGTCTTCTCCCCTCGACCCTAAACCTCCTCGAGCTCGCCCGCTAACGCTTCCCTCGCTTTCGCCGCGTCCGTGGCGCTCACGCTCCACGACGCGTCCCCTCCCAACCTCAGAACCTCGTCGTGGAACCCCAACAACGACGCCCTGTGCCCCACGCTGACGTACGCTGTGTCCGGAAGCTCTCTCAGCAAGCGGTACATCTTCGCCTCGTTATCCCCGTCCAACGCGCTCGTGGCCTCGTCGAGCAACGCGACGGGCGGGGCCGTCAACAGCAGCCGCGCGAACGCGAGGCGCTGCTGCTCGCCGAGGGATAAGATCGACGCCCAGTCCCCGGTGGCGTCCAGGCCGACGTTTTCGCCGACGTCGTCGCCCGCGCCCGCGCCGTTGTTGTTCGCGCCGCGAGTGAGCAAATACCCCAGGTTCACCCTATCGAGCGCGGCGCGGAGCTCGTCGTCGCTCGGCTCCGGCGGGCACCCCTCGATCCCGCACGCGATAGTCGTCGCCGCGTCGTCCGCGCCGGCGATCTCCAACGCCTTCTCTTCGAACGGAAATCTGCCCACCTTGGAGGCGCCGACGCCGGGCGCGGGCGTCGTCTGCACCCACGTCGGATACAGCAGCTGCTGTCGCAGCGTGCCGAGGACCAAGTACGGGCGCTGGGGGACGAAGTACATCCCGTTGTTTTCCGCGATGGACGCCGCGGTGGACGTGGTGGCCTTTTCTGGATCCAGGCGCTCCCGATCCTGTTTCCGGGTCGTCGTCTCCGGTTTCCGCCACATCACCTCGCCGTCGCCTTGCTCCCACAACCCGGCGACCGCTCGCAGCAACGACGTCTTCCCCGCGCCGGACGGGCCCATCACGAGCACGGACCCTCTCTTCGGGAGCTCGTAGTCGAGACCCTCCACGAGCGGCGGACGCTCCGCGCCCGCGCGCCCGGGCGCACGCACCGTCAACGCGTTGAGCTTCAACCTCGCGCCGCTGTCGCCGTCGAGCCCTCCTCCGCCGCCTCCTCCGCCTCCTCCTCCTCCTCTCGCGCCCGGTCCCGCGCCGAGCGCGGTCGCGGCGACGCCCGCGGCGCTCGCGGCGCCGCCCATCGCGAACGCTCCCAAGCTTGGCGGCGTCACCACTACTGGCGTGCGCGTGATGCGTCGCTTGCCAATCTCCCCCGGCGCGGAGACCATCTCCGCGGCGCCGATGTCGAGCACCTCCGTCATTTGTCCCAGGCGATCCGTCACCGCGCTGAACGACGCGAGCCGCTCGATCTGATACACGACCAGCGAGACGTCGCCTAGGATGTGCGAGAACGCGCTGCTGCTCTGGTTGATGACCCCGAACTCGATCTCGCCCTTGAAGAACAGCGGCGCGACCACCGCGGCGGGGAGGAACTGAGGGCGATTCCATACAAAAATAGTTCATCGGTCAGTTGAAAGGGGACGCAATCAAGTGTTGAAACCGAGCTACTGTATGGGTGAAAAGCTTTTGTAGAGAACGCACCTGGATGAGGAACCGGTAGCACGACGTGAAAAAGTCGACGTTTCGCGTCGCCACGAGCAGGTCGCCGAAGTTATCCAGCGTGCGTCTCAGGCGTCCGACGAGCGCGCTTCGCTCCGCGGCCTCGCCGGCGTAGAACGCGATGCTCTCCGCGTTCTCGCGGACGCGCACGAGGCCGTACCGGAAGTCCGCCTCTCGCGCTTCTTGCGTAAAGTTGAGACCCACGAGCGGCTTCCCGAGTTTCGCGCTGACGACGGTGCCGCCCGCGGCGTACACGAACAGGACCGCGACGAGGGGTTTGTATATCCCGAATAAGATGCCGCTGAAACTCACGAGGTCGATCCCGGCGTTCAGGAGCGTGAACGTCAGACCCAACGACGTCGACGTGAACGACGCGATGTCGTCCACGATGCGTTGGTCCGGGTTGTCGATGACGCTTCCGGTTTGGATGTGATAAAAGTTTCGTTTGTCCAGGTACTTTTCCACGTACCGCTCCGTCATCCACCCGCGCCACTTCAGCACGAGCACCTCTTGGTAGTAGTCCCTGAGCACGAACACGGGGATCGCGCCCGCGATGGCGGCGATGTAGGTCTTGAGGAGGCGATCGAAATCGTCCGGTTTCTTCTCCGCGATTGAGTTGTAAAAGTCGCGTCCCAGAAAGTTGAATCCGACGGAGATGGCGGTGGTGCCGAGCGTGAGCGCGACGACTCCCGCCAGCAGCCATCGCGCGTTCTTCGACGACGTATCGTCCACCCAGAACGGCGTCGCGACCGTCTTGAACCGCGAGAAGACCGCGCCGAGGTCGACCTCCGCGCCCGCGGGGCGCGACGGCGGCGTCTTCTCATCCGACGACGCGCTCGAACCGTCGTCGTCGTCTCCGGGGGACGACGACGACGACGCGCGGACGCGGACGACGCGGTCGTCGCCGCCGCGACGCGCGACGGCGCGCGGGAACGGCGGCGGCGACGTCCGGATCGTCGACGACGCGGCGACCGCGTCGCGATGGAGAGGACGCGGCGCGGCGCGACGGCGTTCCGCGACGCGACGACGACGACGGAGACCCGACGCGTCGACGACGGAGGCGCGAGGCGCGAGGAACGATCGAGGCGACGACGACGACGTCGACGCGAGGGCGACGACGCGCGACGCCGCGAGCGACGACGACGACGACGCGGCGGCCATCGCGGCGGCCATCGCGGTGGGGGTCTGGAAGGAACCCCGAACGCGCGCGACGACGACGACGACGAGGAAGCGCGCGTGGGCGATGCGATGTGCGCGCGGCCGGGCGACGTCACGGTCGTGTCCACGAGTGCCAGCTGTCGTGCCGACGCGCGCTGCGGCTGCGGTGCGTCGTCGCGCAGTACATCGACGCGCGCCATGCCGCTCGCCGCGCCGTCGCCGACGCCGAGCGCGTCGATCGCGCGCGGCCGCGCGCGCGCGACGACGCGCGTGATGGCGCCGTCGGCGCCTCCCGTCCGCCGCCTCCGCGCGTCGTCGTCCGTCGACGGCGCGGCGGAGACGTCGTCGTCGTCGTCGTCGTCGTCGTCGTCGTCTTCCGAGAGATCCGCCGGCGACGCCGTCGTCGCGCCGTCGCCGTCGTCCTCCTACATCTCGGACGTGCGCGTGCGAATCCTCAGGGACGAGGACGAGGTCCCGCGCATCGCGACGCTGTGCGCCGCGGTGTTCAAAGAGATCGCGATCCCGCTCCCCACCGAGGCTGGCGCCGCGCTTCTCGCGATCGGCGACCTCCTGGAAGCGTCCTACGAGCGAGCGATGATCAAAGACCTGAACGGCGTCGTCGTCAAGTGCCAGCGCGAGAAACGCCGCGCGGCGAACGCGACGCGCGCGGAGTTCGGCCGCGCGCGCGCGCGCGCGACCGCGCGAGAGATTCAGGCGCTGCAGCGCACGCGCACGAGCGTGGACGCGCTGACGACCGAGCAGCTCACGGAGATGCGATCGCGCATCGCGGACGAGACGGCGTCGGCGATGGAGGACGCGCGCCGGGCGCCGGATGCGGAGTATCGCCGGCGGCGACACGCGCGGCAGTGGATGCAGATCGTCGTCGACGCGGTCGTCCCGGGGGGGGTCGCGACCGGCCTCGTGATGGAGGAAGGGGGTTTAGGGGGCGGGGGGCGTGCGGACGACGAGAGCGAGAGGCCGCCGTCGGCGGGCGAGGGCGAGTTTTGCGGGAGGGAGATCGTCGCGTCGGCGACACTGCAGGCGTGCGTTCCGGACGCGCCGTTCCCGCCGCCGTTCCCGACGTCGCGTCCCTACCGCGCCTACCTCGCGAACGTCGCGGTCGCGCCGGAGGCGCGGAGGCAGGGCGTCGCGAGCGCGATCATCGAGAAGAGCGAGCGAGTGGCGAAGATGTGGGGGTACGATGAGTTATGGCTGCACGTCAACGTGGACAACCCGAGCGCGAAGAAGCTGTACGAACGCGCCGGGTACGCGTTTCACTCGGAGGATCCGTGGTTCTACTTGGACCGGCGGTTTCTGTTGTTCAAGAAGTTGACCTAACTAACCCGCCGAGCTGAGTGGACGCGTACGTGTTCGTGTACTCGTAGTACACGTAGTGTGTATGTTCTTATAGCTAGACTCGCGGCGGTCTCGTCGTCCAGTCGTGTTCAACTCACAGCGAGCGGCCCGCTCGCGACGTTCTCTTCGATCGTCGCCGCTTCTTCGCCCGTCGCCGCGTCATAGTCTGACCTCCTCGCCCCCCTCCGTCCTTCGTCACGCCCACCCGAGCACGACCCCCCTGGAGACGTACGCCACTCCCGCGATGACTAACGGAGCGACCGCGTCGCGGCTCGCGGCGTCGCGAACCACGCTACGCATGGATCTAGAATTTCGCACCGTCGCCGCCGCCTCGTCCGCGCCCGCCGCCGCCGCCGCCGCGACGACTCCGGACACCGCCGCTAACGCCCACGCGCCCGGCGTTTCGATCACCATCCCGGCGTTTCGCGCGACTCCCCCCACCCCGGTCGTTCCCGACGTCATCGAGGCCGCCGCGCCCACGGACGCGGCGACGAGCATGCACGCGCTCGTGGCGACGGCGTCCGCGAACGACGCCGGCGGCGGCGCCGGCGGCAACGGCTGCGGCGGAATAGGCGGCGATCGCGGCATCCCGACGAAAACGGCGCCGTGCAGCGCCCACGTGATGGCGAACGCGACGCACGCGACGGCGAGTCTCCGATTCCTGGACGCGCCTCCCTCGTCTCCGCCGAACAGGCATTTCATGGATCCAGAAATCGCCACCGCGGCGACGGCGCAATCCGCGGGAAACGCGACGCACGCGAGCCACGCCGCGAGCGTCCACCGCGCGAGACCGTGGACGCGCTCCCGCTCGTCCGCGACGAGGACGACGTCGCAGACGCGCGCCGCGAGGCTCCCCGGCGGCAACCTCACCGGACTCCACGGCGACAGCCTGATGAACTCCAGCGCCTGAGGGTCGAGGGTCCGTACGAAGAAAGCGTCGTCGGGGAGGAGTTCAAAGGCGTCAGAAGCGGAGTTGAAAGGCGTCGAGGTGCGCCGGGATTGTGAGCGAGGGACCCTGGGCGGAGAGATGCGCCGGGAGATAAAGTCCTTAAGGAATCGATCGCGTTCACCACGCCGACGCGGTCGTATGGGGACCAGTGTGATATAGAACGCACCCACGTCGCGATCAACGCGGGGACGAGGACGGCGGCGGCGGCGGCGGCGGCGGCGGCGCCCGCGACGGCGCGCGGCGGCGACCCCGTCGCCGCCGTCGCCGTCACGATCGCGCGCGTCGCGAGGAGCGCGAGGAGCGCGGGGAGGATCCGCTGCCACGCCGCGCGCGCGGCGCGAGCCGGCGTCGACGTCGGCTCCCAGCCCCCGCGTTCGCGTTCGCGTTCGTTTTCGAATTCGTCTTCGTCTTCGTTTCGACGATGGCGCCTCGCGCCCGCCTTCGCGAGCGCGACGAACTCGACCGTCCGCCGCAGCGTTCTCCATCGCCGATGCGCGCTCACCTTGTCGCGGAAGAACGTCGTCACGCCCCTCGTCATCTTGTACATCCCGTCCATCGCGATCCTCGCGAGCGTCGCGTATTCGATGTCCGTGACGCGACCGCCGTCGTGGACGTCGTGCCACACGCGCGCGGCGTCCGACGCGTGCACGCGTCCGCGAGTCCGCTCCGCGTCGTCCGCGAGGTCGAGCGCGCGCCTGTCGTACTTGCGCTTGTCGATCTGCTTGTACTGCGACTTCGGCCTCGCGGCGGCGGCGGCGGCGCGCGCGGAGGGCGGCTTCCGAGGCGGCATCGCGACGGCGCGGCGCGGGGTCCTCGAGCGCGGCGCGCGGAGCGATGTTAAGATGTGGTCGCTCTCGCAGCGCGCGTTGAAACGGACATCACAGCATCAGCACGCGAGATATTTTTACGATCCCTGCGGCCCTTCGTGAGATCCGAGGAGGCGCGTCTTCCTCGCATAACTCGGACGACGCGCCGCGCGCTCGCCGTCCGTCGAACACCGCGATGGCGATCCCCGTCTCCACCGCCGCCGCGGGCTCGACCCCGGACACCGCGGGCAAGAAATCCGCGGCGCCCGTCGGCGGCGCCGCGGCGATCTCCGCGACGCGCTTCGCGACGTTGATGCGTCCGATGCTCGAAAAGACGACGCCGCTGTTCGCGCTCCTCTCGCAGACGATCGCGACGATCGAGCCGTACGTCATCGCGCTCGTCGCGTACTTCAACCACCTCGCGACGATCCTGAAGCCGTACCACCCGGAGGAGTTCCTCCCCGCGATGTGCGGCTTCGTCCTCGTATTTTTCGGAGGGAACTTCTTCACGCTCTGCGCGGCCGTGGAGGCGTACCGTCTCATCGGCTTCGACGACACGAAGATCGCGCTGAAGAAGCTGAAGCACTCCTACGACGTCGCGATGGCGGCGTCGAAGAAGGACGACGAAGTCGACGCGGACGGCGACGGCGTCGCGGACGTGAAGCAGATCGACGCGAGGGCGCTCGCGGTTCGAAAAGCCGCCGTCGTCGCGAAAGCCGTGGACCCGGACCTCGTGACCGACGCGCTCGTCGCCATCAACGGCGGGCTGATGGCCGTCGTCGCGACGCTGCGCGTGCGCTTCGCCGCGTGCGTCACGATCGGCTCCACGGTGGGCGAGATGGCGCACAACGCGGTGCAAACGCACGCGGAGCCGGCGCTCCTGGAGCTCACGCCGTCGGAGTACAAGAAGTGGGTCCCGTGCGGGCTCCGGTACGGCTGCCAGCTGTGCGGCTTCGTCATCGCGTGGTTCCTTCAGATGTCCATAAGCGCGTTCCACAGCGCGACGAGAGGCGCGCAGATGTTCGCGAGAGGGTCGCTGACGTACGCCACGAGGCGGGGGTATCTGAACCCGACGGCGATCGACGAGAAGGGGCGGGTGTTCAACGCGTGCGTCTTCGCGCTCGCGTTCGTCGGGTTTTGGTCGCAGTTTTGGTCCGGGTACTCGCTGCCGTTCCCGCTGAACATTCTGTTGCTGCCCGTGACGTTCGCGGAGTACGCGATGCGGTTCGTCGTGTTCATGCTCGGGTGAGAGAGACTTGCGGCGGAGAGACCCGGGTGAGAGATATGATGGATGGCGCGCGAGAGGCGGAGGCGGCGGCGGCGGGCCAGGGGAGGCGGGTTGAGAGCACAGAGGAGGAGAGGACGCGACGGCGGCGGCGGCGGCGGCGGCGGCGGCGTGCGAACGAGCGACGGTGGCGAGACGAGCGAACGGCGAACGAACGAACGAACGAACGGGGGGGACGGAAACGGGTGGACGCGAGCTGGGTGGGCGGCGTTCAGTCTGGTCGGTTGAAGGTACTGTGTAGATACCATACTTTCGATACCTCTAACACTTCCACAGCTTCCGCGTCTCCGCGGTCCGCTCGTCCGCGCCCGCGGCGTCGAACGCCCTGGTCATCGCCGCCTTGTCCGCCGTGGACATCAGCAGCGCGTTGAACGCGAACCGAGGCAACGCCGCCACCGCGGCGGCGTACTCGCTAAACTTCTCGACGTCGCCCGCCGGTATCCAGACTTTGTCCGCCGCCTCCGCGAAGGCGCCGAGCATGACGTTAGAGACGCTCTCTTTCACGACGCGCTTGACGTCCGCGACGGACAGCGCGGAGATGAACGCGCTGAGCGCCTCCGGTTTGCCTCGCAACGTCCGGCAGCCGCGCTCGAACTCGGTCGCGGTCTTCGCGGGCGCGGCGCCTCCGGAGCCGCGTCGCGTGGATTTTTTCTCTCGAAGCAGCGCCGCCGCCGCCGCGGCTTTCGCGTCGATGTCGTCCTTCGTGACCGGAGTCTTCGTCTTCGGAGACGACGCCTTCGGCTTCGGCTTCGGCGACTCGGTAGCCTCCTCCGCGTTCTTCTCTCTCTTCGTCTCCTTCGTCGTCGTCTCCGCCGCCGCCGCCGCCGTCGCCGTCGCCGCGGCGAATTTCGACGCGCTCTCCTCCGCGAGCGACTTCATCGCCGCCGCCTTCTCCGTCATCTCCTCCACGTCCGCGCTCGCTCTCGCCGCGGCAGCCTCCGCCTCTACGCCCTTGTGCCCCGGGAACGCCTTCACGACGTGCGCGTACTCCTCGCACGCGTCGCGGTGACGTCCGAGCGCGACGAGCGCGATCGCGCGTCGATGCCGCGCCTTGGCGTGCGCCGGGTCGATGGAAATCGCGCTCGAGGCGTCGAGCTCCGCGCCGACGTGGTCGCCGAGTTTGAGGCGCGCGGCGGCGCGGTTCGCGAGGTACGCCGCGCTCGCGGGGACCGCCGCGATCGCTTCCGTGTACGCCGCCTCCGCGGCTTTGAAGTCGCCGGATTTAAACAGCGCGTTGCCTCGGTCTTTGCTCGCCTCCGCGGCGACGGCGGGGTCCGCGGTGGTCGTCTTCGACGCTTCCTCCGTCGTCGTCGTCGTCGTCTCGTCGTCGTCGTCGTCCGAGGAGTCTTCTTCGACGATCGCGATGCGCGTGCGTCCGCTCGCGGACGGCGGATCCGGATCCGTCGTCTCCACCGGCGTCGGCGTCGGCGCCTCAGCCGCGAGCGGCGGGGGATCCTCGTCGTCGTCGCTGTCGTCGTCGGGGTGGAGTTGAAAGGCGTCGGTTGGAGTTGAAAGGCGTCGAGGACGGGGATTGAAAGCGAGGGACCCTGGGCGGAGAGACGCCGCCAAAAGTCCTTAAGGATCGGCGTTCACCACGCCGACGGGGTCGTATGGGGACCAGTGTATAGAACGCGCCTGTCGTCGCTGTCCGCCTCGACGACCACCGCCTTCTTCGCGCTCGCGCTCGACGCCGCTCTGTCGCCGCCTCCCCCGCTCAGCGACCCCAGGTCCATCCCGCCGAGCATCGCCTCCGCGGCGCGCTGCATGCACGCGTTGACCTCGTTTCTCAGCGTCTCGCTCCCCGGGTTCGCCCTGACGACGACCTCGTAATCTTCCAACGCGTTTTCGAAATCCTTCAAGCCGCTCCTCGCCGCCGCGCGTCGGTGGTACGCCTTGACGTACTTCGGATCGCGCGCGATCGCCTCGGACGCGTCCTCGCGCGCGGCGGCGTACTCGCCGAGCTTGAGGCGCGACGCCGCGCGGTTCGCGAGAAGGATCGCGGCGGTCTTGTCGTCGTTCGCTCTCGTCGCGAGGTGGACGGCGGCGGCGTAATGCTCGATCGCTTCGCGGTGCGACCCGCGCACAAACGCGGCGTTGCCCTTCTGTTTCAGCTCCGCGATCTCCGCGGCGGAGGCGGACGGGGGCTCCGCGGCCGCCGCCGGCTTCGGCTTCGGCTTCGGCGTCGGCGTCGGCGCCGGCGCGGCCGCCGCCAGCGCCTCCGCTTCCTCGATCTCCGCCAGGACCCCTTTATGCCTCGGGAACGCTTTTCGAACGACCGCGTAGTCGACTAACGCGTCGTGGACTCGACCGAGCTTGACCCGCGCCGCCGCGCGGCGGTGGTGCGCCTTGACGTGCGCGCCGTCCATCTCGAGCACGTCGCTCGCGTCTTTCTCCGCGCCGGCGTAGTCTTCCAGCTTTAACCTCGCCGCCGCGCGGTTCGCGAGCGCGGCCACCTTGACGGCGGCGACGCTGGAGCCGCCGGACGAAGAGGACGCCGACGCGGACGCGAGGCAGGCGGTGTATAAGTCGCACGCCGCGCGCATGTCCCCGCGTTTGAACGCGTCGTCCGCGGTGCGCTTCATCTTCGCCGCCGCGTCCGCGTCCGCGCCGTCGCCGTCGCCGTCGCCGTTCTTCCCCCGCGTCTCCGTCGTCGTCGTCGTCGTCGTCGCTTCGTCGTCGTCGTCGTCGTCCTCGTCCTCCACGATTGGGATCTTCCGCCGCGAGCTCGAGTCCGGGGTCTTCGGCGGCGCCGCGGGCGCCGCAGACGCGGACGGCGCGTCGTCCTCGTCGTCGCTGGAGTCGTCTTCCTCGATCGCGAGCCTTCGACGGCCGGTTTCGGTCTCTGACGACGCGGTCGTCTCCGCGGCGGCGGCGGCGTCGTCGTCGTCGTCCGTCAGAGTCGACGTCGGCCACGGCTCGGGCGGCGGCGGCGCGAGGTCCTCCTCCTCGACGACCGGCTCCGGGGCCTCGTCCTCGATCTCCTCGAAAACCATCGGGCCCTGACGCGCGGGCTTCAGTTTCTCGAACTTCATGTCGTCGATGAGCGACGCCTTCTCTTCTTTCAAATCCGCGACGTTCGACCCGCCGCCGCCGGCGCTCGCGGTTTCAATCGCGCTGTCGTAATCGCTCAGCGCGTCCGCGTTCTTCCCGAGCGCCCTCCTCGCGGCGGCGCGGCGGTGATACGCCTTGCTGTACGCCGTCTCGATCTCGATCGCTCTCGTCGCGTCCTCCTCCGCGCCCTGGTAATCGCGCAGGTGGTGCCTCGCGCCGGCGCGGTTACAAAACGCGGTCGCCATGCCGGGGTCCGACGCGATCGCCTCGTCGTACGCCGCCTTCGCGCGCGCGAACTCCTTCCTCTTGAAGTGCTCGTTCCCGCGCGCTTTCGCCGCCTCCGCGGGCGTCGTCGCCGTCGTCGCGGGCGTCGGTGTCTTCTTCTTCTTGTCGAACGAGAACGCGTTCGTCGTCGGCTTCTCCGCGGAGGCGGCTTTGGTTTTGGTTTTGGTTTTGGTTTTGGTTGTTGTTTTGGGTTCGGTTTCGGCTCTGTTTCCGTTTTCGTCGCGGTAGTACCCCGCGCCTCGCGCGTCGTCGCGGAAGTAGTACCCGGGCTTCGCGCCCGCGAACGTCTCGCTGGGAATGAACGACGCGTCGTCGCCGCCCGCGTCGGCGGCGGATGACGATCGCTTCGTCGTCGTCGTCTCCTCGTCGTCGGCGTCGTCGTCGTCGTCCTCCACCTCCGCGATCGTCATCCGCCTCATCTTCCCCCGGTCCGCGTCGTTCACCGCGCGCAGCGCGCGCTGCCTCAACTTCTCGATCTCCTTGCTCCCCGGCTCGATCGCGTCCGCGGCGGCGAGGTCGTCTAGCGCCCTTCGCGCGTCGTCGTCCGCGCCCGTCTCGAGCGCCGCCGCCGCTCGTCTCGCGTACGCTTTGAAATACGCGCCGTCCGATTTAATCGCCGCGTCGCAGTCCGCGATCGCGTCGTGCCATCGCTTCAGTTTCATGTACGCCGCCGCGCGGTTGCATCGCGTCGCCGCGGAGGACGGGTCGAGCGCGAGGGAGAGCCCGTACGCCTCGATCGCGGAGCGGTACTCGCGCGCTTTAAACAGCTCGTTGCCTTTTTCCTTTTCGCGCGTCGCGACCCAACGCCGTTCGCGCGCCGTCGCGCCCTCCATCGCTCTCAGCGTCCTCTTCACGTCCACGGCGGTGTTCGCGACGGACATGTCCTCGGAGTCATCCGGGGTCAGACCGGACGCGCCGAACAGCATCGACTCCGCTTCGGAGAGCTCCTCGGGAACCGGACGTCCTACGCGAGCCAACGTCGGGGTGGAGTTGAATGGCGTCAGAAGCGGCGTTGAAAGGCGTCGAGGCCGGGTATTGAAAGCGAGGGGTGGGCGGAGAGATGCGACGGGCAAAGTCCTTAAGAAACGGCGTTCACCACGCGGACGGGGTCGTATGGGGACCAGTGTGAAGATAGAACGCGTCCGACCTTCTCCATCGTCCGATTTCTCGGCGTCGTCCTTCGCCCTCTTCTTCGCCGCCTCGTCCGCGCCCGTGGGGTTGACGGTCGTCGTCGGGATGCAGCGGATCGGCGCGACGCCGTCGCCGTCGCGGTCGCGCGCGCGCACGAACGTCGGCTCCGCCGCGTCCGCGACGTCCGCAGCCTTCAGGTCGTTCGTCCATCGAACGAGATCTTCCGCGAACGATGCCGCGTCCGCTTCCGTCTCCGAATCGACGACCGCGTCCGGCTTCTTCGCGCCCAGGGCGATCAGGCGGTTCTTCACCACGCTCGCGGTCTGCGGGAACCCTTCCTCTCTGCGGCGGCGAAGGAAGGGAGGGAGGGAGGGAGGGATGGTCAGCGAGGCGTCGAGACGGAAGAGATCTTCGTTCGGCGACGATCGAAATCGATCGGTTCGCGCGGGAGAACGCGGAGGCGGACGCACTCCATGTACTGCATGAGCTTGTGCAGCGTCGCGGGGTCGGTCATCGCGTTGATGTCGTCGAGCCCGACGTCGTCGAACTTCCGTCGTTCGTCGTCCGTGAGACGGACGCGGTTGCGTTTCATCGCCATCGCGCCCGAGGGGGGGCGACTCGCTCGGCGCGCGCGCGGCGGGAATGAAGGGACAGACTGATAGATCGTCGTCGTTGACCGAAACGACGGCCGCGGTCGGCACCGGGGCGGGGGCTGGACGCGTGAGGGTGACCAGACGAACGTGTTCATCGGTCAGTTGAAAAGGTACGCGATCAAATATTGAAACCGAGAGGTGGGTGAAAAACATCAATTGACCGCATCTGAGCCGGCGGCAATTTCGCGATATTTCGTTCGCTTTTTGCGCTTTCCGTCGTCATCACAGCACCGCGCTAGAAGGCCCGCGTCGGCGCATCGCGATCATGGCCGCGAGCGCGACAGCCTCGCTCGCGCTCGCGCCGGGGCACCGCGCCCCTCGCGTCCTCCCCCGCGGTCGTCCCTCGCGACGCGGCGGCGAAGTGACGACGTCGTCGATCCGCCGCCAGACGCGAACGAGGAGAATGTCGAGAATCCGCCCCGCCGCCGCGCCGAAACCGTCGTCGTCGTCCTCCTCCTCCTCCTCCTCCTCGGAGAAGGACTCCGAGACCGCGGGCGACTTCTTCGAGTTCAAGCGCGACGACCAAGGGCGCATCATCGGCGCGAACGGGAAGCCGATCGACCCACCGAAGGACGGGTGGGTCGCGGACATGGAAAAGCAGTGGGCGGCGACCGGCTACGACGAGCGATTCTTCGACGACGACTGGGAGACGAACCTCGAGAAGAACCCGAACGCCACGCAGGAGGACATCGAAGCCGCGCTGAAGAGCGCGCAGCCGACGTATCCGTTCGCGGTGTTGGAAGAGGAGGAGTGGAAGGAGTCGGGCGTGACGTGGGAGGAGGAGGGCGAGGAGAACGTCTTCGCGGACTCGTTCGAGGGGCCCGGGTGGAATCGCAGTCATCATTCCGACGACGACGACGACGACGACGGGGAGGAGACGGCGCGGCTCACGTACACGCCGCCGGAGGGGATCGAAGTCGACGAGATCACCGCGAAGGTGGCCGCGGAGGTGTTCGACCTCGACGACACGAGGAAGGATCTCTCTCGGGACGACGACGACGATCCGAAGCTTCGCGCCAGCGTGGCCGCGGACCTGACGCCGTCCGAAGAAGCCGCGCGACTCGGCTTTAACGATCCGTACCTGGACGTCGACGGCGAACCGGAGGGCCCGCCCGCGGTGATGCTCGCCGGGTTCAGAGCCGAGGAGCTGCCGCGCGTGCGAGAGCTCCTCGACGAGCTCGGCGGGCACGACGTCCCGGTGATCCCCGTCCCGCAGGCGCACCTCGCGCGGCCGCTGAGCGACGCGCTGTCGCTCCCGGAACCCGACTGGGAGTCCCCGCGCGTGAGCGAGCGGTTCAACCAGGGCGGCGAGTTCGGGTCGCAGCGCGCGGTGATCTTCAGCGGGCTCGACCGCGGCGAGATGGCGTGCGTCGTCTCCGCGATCGAACGCCGGGGGCTCCCGAGGCTGTTGACCGCGGTGATCACGTCGGACAACGCGGAGAAGACGCTCGGGGAGGCGCTCGCGACCGCGGTGAAGGAGTCGCGCGAGGAGAAAAGGCGGAGGAAGACTTTCCGCGAGCAGTTCCCGAGCGAGCGCGTCGCGAGCGAGCTCCGCGAGCTTCAGAGAGAAGCGCGGAGGGAGGGGCTGAGCGTCGAGGAGATCGTCGCGCGAGAGATCAAGCGCCAGGACCAGGCCGCGGCGGACGACGCGGCGGCGACGCGCGCGAGGGACGAGCGCGTGCGTCTGAACGAGGCGCATCTGGAGAAGCTGAAGGAGGAGTACGTCCGAAAGGCCCGGGCGAGGGCGGCGGCGGAGGCGGTGTCGGGCGGGGCGACCCCGGAGCCGGACGCGGCGGGGTGGCCGACGTTGGAGGACACCGTGCGCGACGTCCTTGAGGAAGACGGGATGGAGATTCGCCTGGACGAGGAGGCAGAGGACGGCGTCGAGCGATTCGAGTGGGAGGACGACGACGACGACGACGAGGGCGGCGACGCGCCGTCGCCGGCGGCGACGAGAGCGAGAGAACCGCCGCGGGAGGACGACTTCGACCCGCCCGACGACTTCGACGAGGACGGCACGCGCGAGGTTGACCCCGTGGCGTGGTCCGCGCGACAGTCACAGTCACAGTCCGCCGCCGACTTCTCTTCGAACATCTCGGCGGCGCCCGCGCCCGCGCCCGCGCCGCCCGGGGGGATCTTCGAGCGGCCGCCCGCCGCGGTCGCGGAGCGCGCGCCGCCGCCGCCGCCGCCGATCGACGAGCCGCCGAGCTCGCGACCGAACCCGATGACGGCGTCCGGGGTCGTGGGCGCGAGCGTGGACGCGGTCGACGCGGAGGCGGCGCCGGAGAACGACGTCGTCGAGGCGCAGGTGATGACCAAGAAGATGTTGCGGGAGCTCGCCGCGCGCCGGGGGGTGTCGTACACGGAGTTGGCGCGGCAAGCGGAGGCGAGCGGCGTGGAGTTGCCGGACGAGTAGTACAGTACACCAACCAGGTCTGTCATCCCTAAAAGAAACCCCCTAAATAAAGAAACTCTAATAAACCAACCACACTACGCGCGCCGCCACATCGCGTACAGCACCGTCAGCGACGCGAGTCCTCCGTCCTCGTCCCCGCGCCACCGCTCCACGACCTTCGTCTCGAACCCGCGCGTCTCCAACGCGTCGAAAAACGCGCGCTGTCCGCGTCCGTTCCCTCTGCGCGTGTGCGAGAGCATCGCGACCGTCCTCGGACCGCTGAGCTTCGCCAGCGTCCCCGCGAGCGCGTCCCACGCGTCCGGGTGCTCGCCGTAGACGACGTCCGCGAGGAGCACGACGTCCGCGGCGGGCGCCGGCGAGAGCCACGCGACCGCCGCCGCCTCGTCCTTCGCGTCGCCCCATCGCAAACGCGCGGGGGTCACCTCCCCGCCGCCCTTCACCGCTCCCTTTACCGCCGCCGCGTTCTTCGCCGCGTTCGCCGCGCACATCGCGACGACCTTCGCGTCGCCGTCCGTGCAGTACGCGGACGCGCCGACGGCGGCGGCGACGGTGGACGCGAGTCCGAGCCCGGCGCCGAGCTCCACGACGCGCTTGCCCGTCCACCACGTCGTCGCCGTCGCGTCATCGTCGTCGTCGTCGTCGTCGTCGCCGTCGTCGCCCTCCTTTTTCCCGAGGAGACGCATCGGGTGCGCGCGCAGCGCGGACGCCGCGCCGGAGGACGCGATGTACGTCGCGAGCCTCTCCGCGGACTCCCACACCGCCGCGCCCGTGCCCGCGCCGCGCTCGTCCCACCGCTGATCGAACGCGAGGACGACGCCGCGGTCGCCGAGAGAGGGATACATGAACGTGCGCGTCGGCGTCCTGAGGCGGTCCATCAGAGGCGACAGCGCGTTCTTCTCCACGAGCGCGAGCGCGGTCGTCGCGTCGTCCGCGGCGAGCGCCGCGCGGGGCGCGGACTTGGAGACGTCGGGGGAGGAGGAGGACGACGACGACGACGACGACGACGACGACGACTCGCATCGCTCGCCGTCGTCCGCCGCGGACGCGGACGCGAGGCAGCACGTCAGGACGACGAGCGCGGCGCCGCGGCGACGCGCGGCGGCGAGCGCGCTCGACGCGCGCGGCGTCGCCGCTCGACGCCCTGGCCGCGTCGACGGCGCCGACGCCGCGGCCGCCGTCGCCGCGGCCGCCATCGCGCGAGGATCTGTGACTTCAGAGGCTCTCTCTAAAAAAAACCGCGTTGTTACGTCGCGCGCGTCACATCGACGCACGCGGCGCATGGCGGCGCCGGTCGGCGGCGACCACGCGGTCGCCGCCGCGGTCGCCGCCGCGCGCGTCCTCTGCGCCGTCCCCGGGTCATCAGACCCCGGGTCGTGGGCCCGCCGCCGGACGCGCACCTGCGAGCCGCGCAGGCGTCGCCCGACGGATGGCGCGTCGGCCGAGCGCTCCTCGTCGTCGGATCCGACGAGCCGCGCGTCCGCGCGATGGGCGCGTCGATGCTGCGCGCCAAGGCGCGCTCGGACGGGTTCGCGCTCTCCACCGCGGACGCGACGGCGATGACGCGCGAGCTCCTCGCGATGATGCTGCCAAGCGACCCCGCGACGTCGCGATGGGACCCCGCGATGGGCCCGCACCTCGCCGCGCTCGCGGCGTCCGTCGCCGCGGCCGGGGGCGCTGAGACGCTCGCCGCGCTCGTCCGGCGCGCGATCGACGTCGCCGCGCCGGACGGCGACGGCGGCTGGAGCGGCGGCGAGGACGCGACCGCCGCGGGCGTCGGCGTCGACGCGCCCGCGGCGGTGGCGTTGCTCGTCGCGGCCGCGGAGGAGGGGCTCCACCGCCCGAGGGCGCACGCGTCGGCGACGACGCGCGCGATGCAAGACGCGCTCGAGGACGTGCTGTGGGTCCTCGAAGCGATCCTGACGAGCTGCGGCGAGGCGGCGGCGGCGTCGGACGTTAATGGTAACGAATTTAGTGTCGTCGTGGCGCTCGTATCGAGCGCGTTCACGTGCTTGCGGACGTGGCACCCCGCGGGCGTCACGCTGAGCGAACTCTTCGCCGACCGCGGCGCGTTGTTTAACGCGCTGGTCCTCGGCGCCGTCGGCGGCGCGTGGGGCGGCGACGCGCGCGTCGTTCGCGCGGCGACGGAGGCGCTCGAGGAGCTCATGCGCGCGACGGATCCTCTCCCGAGTCGCGCGGACGCGGTCCGCGCGGTGATGGACGTCCTGGAGGACGCGTGCGGCGCTCTTACCGCCGGGGGCGCGCTCGACGCCGGCTGGGATTTCCTGGGCGGCGACGGCGACGGCGACGACGGCGACGACGCGATGGCGCGAATTCGCGCGGCGACGGCGATCGCGTCCGCGGTCGCGGGCGCGGAGACGACGGCGTTCGCGGCGCGCGCCGGAGGAGGAGTAGGAGGAGGAGGAGGAGGAGGAGGAGGAATAGGCTCCTCCTTCGGAAACGCGTTGGAGTGGCTTCTGACGACGGCGGAGAGAGGGGACGCGGCGGCGGCGTCCGCGGCGCTCGCGCCGTGGCGCCCCGGGCGCGGCGGGCTCGCGAGCGCGCTCGGGGACGAGCGCGGGCGAACCGCGTGCGAGAGGGTGCTCGGCAGCGTCCTGCGTCGGAGCGCGAGGACCGCGGGCGCGAGCTGGCGCGCCGCCGCGTTGGCCGCCGCCGCCGCCGCGACGGACTCAGACGCGACGCCCCTCGGCCCGACGTGCGACATCGACGACGACGACGCGCTCGATCTCGCGCGCGCGCGCGGTCCGCTCGAGACCGCGATCGCCGCCGCGCACGACGCCATGGGCTCCCCCGCGTTCCTTCGCGTCGTCGTGGACGCGTTGGAAGGCGCGGCGGCGGCGGTGGGTCCGCCGCCGGAGCATCGCGGGTGGGAGAACGCGCGCGCCGCGCTCGTCGCGCTCGCGTGCTGCGGGTACCCGCTCGCGTCCGAGCCGGAGTACGACGTCGACGTCGCGCCCGGCCGGCCGGCGCACGTAGAGGCGCTTACGAGGGCGCTCGTGACGTCTCCGATCGGGTGGACGGTCGTCCGCGCCGGCGCCGCTGGATGTCAGGCGCGTTCTATCTCACACTGGTTCCCATACGACCGCGTCGGCGTGGTGAACGCCGATCCTTAAGGACTTTTGCCGTCGTTTCTCTCCTCCCACACCTCGCTTTCAATACCCGCCCCCCGCGCCTTTCAACTTCAACTGACGCCTTTCAACTCCACCCCGACATTCGCTCGTATAGAACGGCCCTCGAGGGTGCGCGCCGCTCGTCGCCGCGAGGGCGGTCGCGGTCGCGGCGACGCTGTCGCGCGTCGTCTCGCGCGAGCGACGCGCGCCGTTCCTCGCGCCCGCGCTCGAGTTCCTCCTCGATGCGATGGAGACGTTCTCCGGACCGGACGCGGACGACGTCGCCGTCGCGTCGGTCGCGGCGGACGCGGCGGCGACGACGATTCGCGCCGCCGCGGAGGCGCCCGGCGACGACGCCGCGCGTGCCGTCGCGCCGTGCTTGGACCGCGCCGCTTCGATCGCGTCGAGCGGCGGCGCGTTGCCGACGCCGCACCGCGTCGCGATCGTCTCCGCGCTGTGCGTCGTCGCGACGCGACTCGGCCAAGAGGTTGGCGGCGTCGTCGACGCGTTGGTCGCGGCGCCGTTGCGTCGCCTCGGCGCCGCCGTCGCCGCGGGCGACGCGCGTACGTGCGCTCTCGAGCTGAAGGTTTTGTCTCGCGCGTTCGCGGCCGAGGGCGCGCTGGCGCGCGCGTCCGACGACGCGCTCCGCGCGATGTGGGAGACGTCCACGAGCGTCGCCGCGATGGCGAGGGACGCGATCGCGAGCGGGACCCTCGGCGGCGGCGGCGGCGGCGCGAGGGACGCCGCGGAGGATGTCGTGCGCGGGTGTCGCGACCTCTGGATCGGGCTGACGCGCGCGCGGCCGCGCGCGCGCGAGCAAGCGCACGAGTCCGCGGCGCTCGCCGCCGCGCGCGGGCTCTTCGTAGGAGGGCACCACGCGGGGGCGCCGCTCCCGCCGGGAACGACGCCGGGAACGACGCCGCGTTCGCTCGCCGTCGCCGCGTTGTCCGTCGCCGCCGCCGTCGCGCGCGACGTCGGCGCGGGCGCGACGCCTCGGACGCGGGAGGCGATCCTGGAGGTCATAACCGCCGCGTCTCGGACGTTACCGACGAGCGACGACGACGTGGCCCTCGCGCGCGCGCTGTTCGAGACGTGCGCGGACGTCCTGAACGCGTCGTGGATCGGCGTCGACGCGTCGCGCGCCCTCCGCGTCGCGTCCCCGGAGACGTTCCGCGCCGCGTGTTTGGAGTGCCGCGCGGCGGAGGCGGCCGACCGCGCCGCGCCCGCGCTGACGTTCATCGAGACGTGCTTCCGCGCGACGACGTCGACGTCGACGTCGACGTCTACCGCGAGTTTCATCGACGACCCCGAGGGCACCCTGGACGCGATGCGAACGCTCGCGGCGTCGCTCGCCGTCGCCGCCGCGGGGTGGACCTCTCCGAGCGCGTGCGAGCCAATCGGCGCCGCGCTCTGGGCCGCGTCCGAGTGGTCGCGGCGACGGGATAGCGGCAGCGACGGCGCCGCGCCCGCCGCCGGCGGGTCCGCGTGGCTCGCGCGCGTCCTCTCGCGCGCGGTGACGACCGGGGAGGGTCTCGCCGAGCGCGGCTCGCCGGCGACGGCGGCGGGCGCGGCGGGCGCGGCGGACGTGGACGCGTTCGCGCGCGCGGTGGCGACGCGCGCGCCGCCGCACGGCGCGCTGCGCTTGGGCGAGCTCGTGCACGCGTTCGGGCGCGCGGTCAGGGGAGTGGGACCCGCGGAGCTCGTCAGGGAGTTCGCGTGAGCGCGAGAGGTACGCTAGTCTAGCTACTAGTGGGTTGTTACGAGTAGTCTGCGCGCGATTGAAAGTTGAAAACCGGTCACGCTCAGTCGGGCGAAATCACGGTCTGTTAGACCCTGAAGCGAACGGACGATGGAGAGGGCTCCGCGTCGAGACGAGGAGATATTTTGCGTGATTTTCAGTGTCGGAGCGAGGCCATTCGAGGTCGCGGCGCGACGCTCAGGTCGCGACATGGGCGTCGCGACGAGGAGGGGGGATGGGTTCGGGAACGCGCGCGCGCGCGACGTCGCCGGGGCGACGACGCGACGCGGCGCGAGAGAGAGGGTGGGTCCGCGCGCGGAAGAACCGGAGCGCGGAGGAGAAAAGAAGAGGGGGAGAGCGCGCGACGAGAAAATGGCGGCGACCGACTCCCCGGCGGTCGCCGCGCCGTCGTCGACCGTCGCGCGAGCGAAGCGGAAGGCGTCGGAGACGCCGGGCCGCGACGCTCTCGAGCGCGTCAAGACCCGCCGGCGCGCGGGAGCGACCGCCGCGCCCGTGGACGCCGTGCCGGTGCGTCCTCGCGACCCCGTCGCGTCCGCGTCCCTTCGCGCGCGTGCGCTCGCTTTTTCACGTCACAGAAGAAAGAACGAATAAGAGACGTCGACAAGTCGCGCCGCCGTCGACGTCGCCCGCGAGAGCGCTTTCTGACGTCCATCCTCCCCGCCCCCCACCCCCACCCCGTCGCGACGTTCGCGCGCAGGACGACGTCCTCGAGGTCATCTTCGGGCATCTCGCGAGAGATTCGACCCCGCGGGAGTACCACGACGCCACGCTCACGTGCGTTCCGAGCCCTTCGTCACTCTTCGCTCGTCGCGATTCGAACGAGACCCGGCCCGGCCCGGCTTGAAAATCGCGCGCCCGCCCTCGCCGTCGCGCTCGCCCTCGCCGCGCCCTCGCTGACCCGCGCTCCCTCCCCCCGCGCGCTTCCGTCCCGCCGCGTCGCGTCGATCAGGTGTAAGCGGTTCCGAGACGCGGGCACGAGCAAGCGCGCGCTGTCCGACGCGGGCGAGCGAGGTGCGCCCTCCCGCCCCCCGCGGCCGCCGTCGCGACGACAGGACCACGACGCGCTGCTGTCACGCACAGCTGTCACGTCACGACGTTTTATTTTTATCCGGCCGCTCTATCCTCCACTCCATCCGCCGTCGACTCACCTCGCCGCGCGATCTCCCCCCGTTCTTCTCCTCCCCCCCCCCCAAAAAA